CCCGCCCCGCGCCCCCGCCGCGGGCGCTGCGCAGCGCCCGGAGCCGCCGGAGCGCGGCCGGAGCATCCCCGAGCATCCCCGAGCAGCCCCCGGGCGGGCAGGGCGCGCACAGCTCGGGGGCCGCACGCCGTCCTTCGGCAAGGACAGCGCGCAGAGAACCCTTCTTTGTCTGCGGCGTGGCCCCGGTGCTTAACCCGAGGAGCCGGAGTTCCCCCAGCGGGTGGGAAAAGAGCCGCGTAGGAGATTTAAATCATTGCACACTTAGACCGGCGAGGAGAAGGCGGTTCAGCTGACAGCCGGAGAGTCCCAGCAAGGTCCTGGGGAGACTGGAAATGCCCCTTTAAGGGCAGATGTGGGAAGAGAGGCAATTCTCTACGACAGATTCTCAGCTTTGGAGTTTGCTTCATACAACAGCCTGCCAGCTCCTGCTCTGCAGCTCTGCCAGCCGCGTTTTGAGCTGCTTCCCACAGAACTGAGGCGTGTGTGATCACCTGTGTGTCAAGGCAATGCCCGTGTGCTTGCCCAAAAGAGCTTGCAGGCTTTTGGCCAGCGTCTAACTTGTTTCCCGACAGACAGAAGACCCAGCGATCGCTCCTGAGCCTTTGGAGAGCAGTTCTCTGTGCAAAAAGGGGAGGGAGTCTGCCCATGCCTCAGCTGGAGCACTTGTGTGGGCTTAAGCCTTACAAGATAGCAGAAACCCCACACATAAACATCACCGTGCCCCCCCAAAACGTAGCAAAATTTATCAGAGATTGTAGCTTTTGGACTAGTCAGTCACCCAGATGTGTGAAATTACATGGGAAACTGGTGTTGTTCACCCCATTGCTTCAGAACTGCTTGTTCTCCTGAGGGGTGGGAGAAGTGGCTGCAAAGTAGGAGCCATGAGGCATGGAAGGGTGGCAGTAGGGAGAAGTTGTTGCTTTCCTATGAAATCTCCTCTTAAGTCTTCCTAATTAGATTCATCTATGAGATACAACAAAGCAGACGGAGAGGACAGGGAAAATCCCTGCAAAGACAGGGAGAATTTTGTAATGAAGATCATGACTGAGGTGACACATCATTTCCACCAAAAGTTAATAGCTTTGGGTCAGATACACCACACAGTCCAAATCTTAATTCTCTCACAGATGACACTGTGCCTTTTGGCCTCTTGCATCATCTCTCAGTGATGCACAGTTTAGAAACCCGAGGCTTACAGAGTCCCAAAATACACCTCAGCTTGGAGCTTGCTTTGGGAGCTTTCTGGAATGTGGAAATACTGTTGTTCCTGGAAATATGTGGGGAAAAATCTGCCATGGATGAAGCCTGACTTACCCTGTTTTTAAATGAAAACTCTTTTGTAAATGCAAAAGTACTGCACACTTAAGAGGTTACCAAGTAGGTTATATGGCACAAGGTTATTTCAGCCCATACTCCTGGGGATTTATTTTAATTTTATAGCCATAGCCCTTTCCTCTCCCCAGGCTTTGAACATATCAGTTGAAAACCCATGTCAGTGGTCTCACCTAACTAGTATGAGTACAGCAACGGCAGAAAACAAGCAGCAGAGGAATCTGTACCTACAGTACCATGACTGGAGGAACACCAGGATCTTGTTCCTCCTCTTGGAAAACCAGAGTGACAATCAAATGCTTGCAGACAGACGGGTAACAACAGTCTCACTTGAGTCTGTTGAGGGGAATGAACTCCAGGAATGCAAACTCCAAAGAGACAAAGTACTTGATAGAGAAGAAAGGCAGAGTCATAAACCTTTTATCTGGTCTGGCTGCACAGAATGACTTGGGGTGGGTGACACAGGAGACCAAAATAGTACCCAATTTCCTCTTTTCCTTCTCAAAGCCCGGGATTGGATACTTGTATATGGAGTGCTGGCTTTCAGCTCTGCCCGTAGTGACTTTGGGAAAGCTCTCTGTGAGCTGTGGCTGCGCCCCAAGGTTGCAGCACAGAGCTCTGTGCACTCGCACAGCTGCTGGCAGGGCAAGAACTGGGACTGCTACCCTTGGGTTCTGGCCTGGGAGCCGTCCCCTGAGCTACAGATCATTTCACAGGCCAGAGTATTTCCCTTCTTCCCGTACATCTCACTTCCCCCGGCTGGGTGACAGTGCCTGCGGCAGGACCGGGCTCACGTCGCTGTGATGGAATCCTGGGAGAGCGCAGCACGCTCGCTGCTGTTCCCTGGTGAGACACCAGGCTGCCAGCCCCAGCACAGCCCACACTGCCAGCTCCCAGGCTCTTCTCAGAGCTACAGCTGAGCTACAAGCTCTGCTGCAAACCTCAGCCATTAAGTGACCACCAGCAGGTCATTTAACTCCTAAACAGGGCTAAGAGTGTTTCTTTGGGATGCTCACGTACTATCATAGTGAGAAGCTTAATAAGTAGGCAAATTTAAAATGAACCCAAGCTGATACAAGCTCTTCAACAGAGAAGATATCTGCAAGTCTGTGCAGGATCCTGTCCTGAGCAAACAAATCTTAAATGGTGAGGCACGTCTCATTTTGCTGTTAAGTTTGTATAGACATGCAGGGTTTGACCTAGGCACATTTTAAGTAAATTGAAATAAATGTCTTCAAAGTGTCATGATGAAAATGTATTTTTGGCATCCATTATAAATTGGATTGTATATATCTGAGGACCAGATCCAGTTTCTGAACATCCTCAGCTAAAAGAATGGAACTTGGCAAAAAAGTAAACAAAAGATTGTCCAAAAACAGTCAGAAAGAGCTAGAACTGGGAAAGAAACTAAAAGGCAGCGTAAAACACAAAGATGAGTAGACAAAATGAAGAGGAGGCAAAAAACACACAGCCAGGCAGCAAGATAGCCAGAGGAAGACAGAAAATCCATCCTGCTCTGGAGATCACCTCTTGACAGTCCCGACAAAAAGCACTGCCCACTAGAAAGCTGATCCAAGCATTATGAAGCAAGAAAGATGAAGAAGAGCCAAATCATCTGGCACAAGTGGGGAAGGCTACCCTTTAAAAACAAGAAGTGAACAGAGAGGATTTCTACAACCTCAGTTTTCACAGGGACGTCTTTGTTTCTCTAGCACTTTCCAAAACTTTTGCAGTGCAGTGGACTTGCCTCTCTTTTTCACCTTGATGCAAGTCAAGAATTGTACAGGCAGCAATGCAATTACGCCCACCAGACTTCCAGCTGGCTCCAAAATGGACCTATGCTGAGTTACAGCTACCTGGAGTCTGACAGCAAAACCTAAACAGGAAAAACCCCAGATTTTTTCACAATTGCTCTGCATCTTTGATGCCACATAAAAGAACAGTGTGTTCTCCCCTGAATTCAGTGGTGTTTCTACTTTTTTCCCTATGCATCAAGTGCAAAATTCACAGAGTGGGGGGTGAGGAAGGAAAAGAGATGGGCAAAGCCTGACTGGGCTACAGCTTCCTCGCTCCTCCCAGCCTCATGTAATGAAACCCTTTGCCCCTTCCCCTTAGCCAGTTTCATGAAACTTTTGGTTCTCTGGCAAATCTGGCTCCTTTAGATTAAAAATCTTCATCAAAGCAGGAGTATCTCAAGTACCTCTTCTGCCCAATTCCTTTAATCTCTGCAATAGCTGTTTCCTGCAGGATTCATGAAAGCCCCTGCCCCCCCAACACTGGCTGGTGTTCAGCAGAAGCTGGACATGTGTTTTGCTGAATCAAATCTAATTAAGTTATTCAGAGGATTTACTAGATTACACCTTGCTATCTACAGCTACTTACTTCTTCACTGACTCTCCCGTCACTGGAAATCCAGCATCTTCTCCTCCCCTCTGCTCACATTCCCCCAGGAAGCTTTCCTGACATGCACAAACAGCACGTGTCTGGTTGTTTTGATCACCAAAAATATCAGATCAATCCCTTCAAATTGCTGGGGCATCTGTGTACAACTGACAAATCCAGCTTGATCTGAGTTGACTTTGTAAGACACCATTTGCCTTCCCAAAATACCAAGACCTTTTGGGATTTGTGTGCTGGGATTAATTAATCAGGGATAGCGTTCAGTGGATGTACAGAACTGGGGACCCTTCCCAGGTCTTGAGGGAGCCAGACTGAGGCCCCAGGGCAATGAAAATCACAATTCTGGCTGCTGAGGAACAGAGGAAGAGGGGCTGCACAGAGCACAAGTGCAGCAGTGTACGCCAGGGCTGTGCCAAGCTGCTCTTTGACCTTTGGTGGAGCAGACAGATTCTCTTCAAATGGAATTTTCATTTCCCCAGTGTGGCTAGTAGTAGGAATATTAGGAACAACTAAGTAATTTCAGGCAGAGAATCAGGCTAATGCAGGTAATTGCCACTCTGTGCTGTGTTTTGAATTGAGCTACACAATTTTACAGCAGCGACTTAAAGGAATGTATTGCTTAATGACCTCTTACCAATGACTCCACCCTGCTAGACTGTACTTGTATTACACACGAGTCAGAGATTTCCCAGTAGAAAGAAGTCTTAAAGGTCAAAACATAAATAAATGCCATAAACTTGTTAGAGAAACTGCTGTTAATTGGGTCTGCCCCAGGAAGTACATTTTATCCTTTATGGGAACTTTCAGTAAAGCTTTTCCTACTCTCAAAAACATACGCAGCAATGAACAAAGAATATGGACATGGCACTTGAATCTGATTTATGTTTGATAAGCAGAGCTTTGATCGTATGAAATGGCTCAAAATGGCCCCCAAAACTAGATGAGAAATGTGTCCTTTCAGCATGCCCCTGTGCTGATGTACAGAAGATTCCTTCCCACTTCCTGCAAAAATTGCAATCAGATGACTTCCTCTTATAATTCAAGAGGTTATATCCTGAACCTGACTGGTTTTGAAAGAGATTTTTCAGGTAAAAATCGCCCCTCATTCTCATTGTCATCTCTCTGTGGCACTGGCCTAAGGAGAACACGAGCAGGCACACACTCTCTTCCTGGGAATGCCAGCTCAACAGCATGTCCCTGAGCACTGGTCCAAGGCAAATGTGTGTGGGATAAGCATCCCAGACT